AGAGAGATTTTAGATATCACATGACCAAAAATGATACACTCTCCACCAAAAATCCACACTTCTTAAATTTAGCAAATAACTTCTTCTTCCTTAATATCTGCAACACTATTCTCAGATGTTCTTTGTGCTGCTCTTTACTCTTCGAGTACACAAGAATCTCATCAATAAAAACTACCACAAACTGATCTAAGAAGGTTTTAAATACTCTTGTTCATTAAATCCATAAAAGCTGCAGCGCATTGGTCAACCCAAATGCATCACTAAAAATTCATAATGCCCATATCTAGTTCGGAAGGCTGTCTTAAGTATATCTTCCGTCTTAACCTTCAACTGATGATAGCCAGAACGAAGGTCAATCTTAGAAAAACTTGTGCTCCTTGCAACTGATCAAATAGGTCATCTTCCTAGGCAAAGGATATTTATTTCAGATTGTCACCTTGTTCAACTCTCGATATCAATGCAAAGGCGAAACTACCATTCTTCTTTTTCACAAATAAAACGGGCGCACCCCAAGGAGAAACACTAGGCCTAATAAAGCCCTTATCTAATAACTCTTGTAACTGTTCCTTCAACTCTTTCAACTCTGTTGGAGCCATCCGATACGGAGCCTTGGAGATAGGACCCGTACCGGTATCAATTCAATGGCAAACTTAATCTCTCTATCTAGTGGCACCCCAGTAACTTTTCAGGAAAAAACATCAGGAAATTCCTTCACAACTGAATATCCTCTAACTTCAATTCAGTCTCACGGGTATCTCTCACAGAAGCTAAATAGCCTCGCACCCATTCCTTAACAACCGTCTAGCTTGCAAAACTGAGATGACCAAAGAGGAGTGTTAACTCCACTACCCACAAAACAAAATTCTGGTTGATTAGGAATCTGAAATACTACCCTTTTTCCCTCGACAATCAACAGAAGCATAATTGGTTGCCAACCAATCCATTTCCAAGAATTATGTCAAAGTCTCGCATATCTAAAACAGTTAAGTCTACAAGAATTTCTGTCATCTATACTAACACACGAGATTTGCAAATTAAGTCAGCAACCATAACACCTCCTATCGGGGTTCAACACATAAGTCGATCCTCTCTAGAGACACATTCCATCCATGTTTCTCAACAAATCCCATAGACACAAATGAATTTGTAGCGCCAGAATCAAATAACACAATGTTGCGTGTGCATAAACAGAAGACACTAAAACAGTACCTGACACCACCGTGTTGGAAGTCTGAACATCTTGTTGCGTGAGTGCGTACACTCGACCCTGAGTCTTTGGCTTATGACCTCCATTTTTCTTTTGACTTCCTGAAGACCCTTTGTCTGTTGATGCTCCTTTATTTGTCCATGCTTTCTGTTCAGTCTCACGCCCCTTCCGGTTAGGGCAATCAGCTATCCTGTGCCCCTGTTGCCCACAAGTAGATCAAGCCCCAGTATTCCAGCGACACTCACTATCTCGATGGAACCCATTACATCTAGTGCATTGTATTCGATCATTCTTCTTATTAACACTACTACCCATAGTTCGACTTCCCCAACTCTCAACCAAAGGAGTGTTTTGTCTCTTAGCATTGTTGCCCTTCGAATTGTTAGTTTGGAAGTTGGAAGAACTAGGCCTCTTCTTATAATTCTCTTCTTTCTCTTCTTGGGCTCTAGTGAGGCCACTCTCAACCAACAAAGCCTTATTCAACACTTCTCCGAAAGTAGGTAACTCGAAAGGAACCACCTGTTGCATAATGTTCGTTCTTAGCCCACCTTCAAACTTTCGTGCTCTGCTATTCTCATCTGTTTCAAATGCTGATGCAAATTTAGATAACTTCGTAAACTCAGCTTCATATTCTGCAACTGTCTTATTCCCTTGCTCTAACTTCGAAAATTCCCTCTGTTTTTGTAGACGAACACTCCTAGGGAAGTATTTCTCATTGAACGCATTCTTAAACCTTTCCCATGTATAGGGGTTGTCATCATGCTCGTGTATGCGCTTCTCCATTTGTCATCAATCATTAGCTATCCATTGTAGCATAAACGTAGCATAGGTCACCTTCTGATCATCGGTACACTCAAAAATGGGAAATAACTTTTCCATTTCTGTCAACCATTTTTCAGCCTCCAAAGGGTCTGTGGCTCCGTCAAATGCCAATGCTATCTTCTTAAACTCAGTAATGTTACAACGTGGCCTTGGTTGTACCCCAACGCCTGGCTGCATCCGCTGTTGTTGCTCCATAAGTCTAGTCAAGTTATTCCCTATGGTGGTTTGTTGTTGCACCATCCCGGCCAACGTCTGAAGCACTTGAACCATTTCAATTGGATTGGGGATTGCAGCTTGTTCTTGTTGTCCCAACTCTTGCCCCTGATTTCCTCCGACTGCTTGAGAACCACTACCATTATTAGTCACGTTCCCTCGCCGATTGTTACTACCAGTCCGTCGATTCATTTGACCCTGACATGTGTTCCTAGCCATATTTGCCAATGTCTCCTCATGTTCCATCGCAACCTAAATGCAACAATAATTAAACCTCATCTTATTCTATTCTCAAGCTCCTATAACATAAAAAAAAATAATAAATAAAAATAAAAAAATAATAAAATTAACATTATATCAAATTATAAGTGTTCCCAATCCTACATCTACCCAATCTCACCACTATTCTATACTAGCCTTTAAAATTACAACCTGGCTCTGATACCACTAAATTGTCACGTCCCAAGCTCCGTGACAACGCGGCACACTCATAGTGAGCATGCAAGGCTAAGAGTCCAACACATAACTAACAATGTAAAATACTCCAATTAAATCCTTAATTATCATAATACTAAAATCCATAAAAAAAATTGATTATTCTTATCATATGAAATTATCCACCAAGTCCACTAATAAAATCTATTAACAAAACAAATAATCCAAGTACTTAAATCATAGTCCTACTCTCGGCACTCCCATATGTAAAAAAAAATCCCGCGCAGCTCTACTCTTCAGAATCTGAAAAAAATAAGATAAGGGTAAGCTAGACAGCCTAGTAAATAACCAACCATTACTGCCAGCTGGATCAAGTATATCAAAAAGAAATAAATAAATAGTCGATAACCAATAAATATAATTTTTGATACAAATCAATAAATGACACGATTATTTGTAAGATGGTTTCATAGCTGAAAATAAGCAGTGTAGCAATACATTTTAATTAAAAGTCAATGGGGTAACTCGCTGAAATTTCGTTATCCAAAATTGATAAATCAATATTCAGATGGTTCAATGATCGATTCACAAAACCCAAGTCTTAATGACTACGGTCACTTAGACTGTGACAAGGCCCAGAACCACACATAGGCTGGTGGTAAAGCCCCAAAAGAAACTAGTTTCTGTGCCAATAAATAACCCCCATTGGCTAGGATCCAAATCATAGTCAAACTAGAGTGATGTTCAACATTCACACAATACACAAATTTTAAATAAAATATTCGATATTTTCAGAATAAACGTTTAGTATAATTTTCAGAATAGTTTCACCGAATATTCAAATAATTTTCATAATAATATTCGATGTTGTTTTATACTCGACCCATATTT